GTATTGAATTCCTATATGGCAGTGGGAAGCGGTTTACCTTGAGATGATCGTACCCTTCTTTAGCGCGGAAGGCACCGGACCCCTGTCAGCGGGTCCCCCAGCCGTGGGATGACTCCGGGCGAGGAGAGCCCTAGAGCCCCATCGTGCAGAGCCGTGGTCCCACCTTCCGAATTCCAGCGAGGCCCCGGCCGGGGGGCATTCACAGAAATCGAGTCCAGCCCAGGCCTCTCCTTGCCTCGGCTAGATCGGGGCCTCGCCGGAAGGCGGGACCGCGGCCCAGCCGAGGGAGACACCTCCGTGCTGGGGAGAGCGCCTCGGCAGGGCCGTGGTCCAACCAACCTTACCAGCGGGCGCGATCAGCCCGGGGGGAGGCCTCTCCTTCCTCGGCTAGATCGTGGCCAGCAATTTGTTGTTGAACTAATTTTATCATCAGACTGCCGGAAGGCAGGACTTCTGCTAGGTATCCTGACCAGACCGAGGGAGACTTCCGTCTATGATTAGATCCCTTCGTTGTCAGAGGGCCTCCGTCGGTCAGTTCACGACCGTTCCAGCGAGGCCGGCGATCCAGCCCATGCCTCTTCCTTGCCTTGTCTATGATCGTAGGCCTTAAACTCGAGCCGGAAGGTCAGACCGCGGCCCCAGGCCGAGGGAGACTCCACGTGCGATGAGATGCCCCTTTTCGGCAGGGCCGTGTACACACCTTCCAGCGATGGCCGCCTATCCAGCCCAGGCCTCTCTCCTTATGCCTCGCTTATTATCGTGGCCTCAGCGGGCTCTTCATTAGGCGGAATGCAGGGACCGGCAGCCTGTGTGGCCCAGTCCGAGGGAGACTTCGTTCGAGGAGAGTGCCCTCGGTCCGGCCGTGGTGCTCCAAGCCCTTCCAGCGAGGCCGGAATCCCACTGCCCAGGCCTCTCCTTGCTCCGTACTATATGATCTTGTCCTCTGCCGGAAACAGGCATGGTGGACCTTTGTACCGACGCCGGTTCCCAGCGAGGGAGACTTCCGTGCGAGTAGGAGCCCCTCCTGGCAGGGGCCGTGGTCCCACCCAACCA